AAACTCCATTGGTCTTAAATTAAACGTTTTTTTTGGAGAATCTAATTTTTTAAGAGGATGAATTTTTTTTTATTTTTTTTATTTTTATTTTTTTTGTTGTAATAGTAGCGAAAAAAATATCAAGTAATTGATGTATTATTTATTAAATAAGTATGAATACATCATTTGTGTGACAGTATGTGCGTATATGTATAATAGTGTGTGTTGGTGTTGGGGGCTGAAGAAAAGAAAATAGAGATGAGAGAATGAAAGAAATTGTTATATGTATGAGGTTAGAAAGGTCATTTCAGCATTTAAATTAGTCAATATAAAAGTTAAAGGGTAAAAATGTCAATTTATTATCATTGGGATGTCTTTGGTAGATGTATCAAATTTTAGGGGGTGCCATTGCCCCAAAATAGACAAACTTTCATTTGAGTGTCCTTTTGACAAATATCAGGTATTTTACCCTAGATTTTATTCTAAATGAACTTTTACCATTTAAGATAACAACACCACATATAAACACTTTATTTTTTTCTTATCCAATCAAAATGAAATTATATTAGCTCGCTTAGTGTCTTTTCACATCTGTTCACATCACACTCGTCAATTAGATCGTAATTTATATGCATTTTAGATTTTTTTTTTTTTTTATTCACTTGTTATTATTATTTTTATTATAATTTATAACTTCATGCCTTTCAGAGTACGACTAGAGGTTAATTTGAAGGAAAGATACATTTTTTGGTTTTCCCACTGGGGGAAATTAGTCTTGATTTAAAATTCAAGCATGGAGATTCAAAATTAGATAAAAAAAATTGAGTTATATTATATTAAACCAAGGAGCCAAATTTAAAAATGAGAAAATTTAGCAAAGAAAGACTTCCATGCATAACTCTCATTAGTGTCATTAATTAATTAAATATAGTCAAACACAGCAAAAAAAAAAAAAAAAAGAATGCAGTAATAACAAATATTTTAAAAATCAATAAGTGAAATTAAAATATTTTTTAGGGTGAACTACATTAAACCCTCCTTTTATATCTGTGTTTTTCACTAAACCCCCCTTTTCTATTTTTTTTTTTTTTATATCAAAAAATCCCCCTCAAATATTAGAGGGGGTGATTTAACTAACACCCGTTAACTAACTATTAGAGGGAGGTGATTTAATTCTTAAATATATATATATATATATATATATATATATATATATAGCAAATAAATTTCAAGAAAAATAACCTAGATTTATATTCGAAAAAAAAAAATAGGCATTATTTCTGGTAGTGTCCCTTTAATAAATCTATATAAAATAAAAACCAAATAAATGAATGTACAATATAATTCTCAAACATATATATAGCAAATAAATTTTAAGAAAAAAAAAACCTAGATATTTTTCCTAAATTAAAAAAAAAAAAAAAAAAAAAAAAAAAAAGAAAAGTAAAAGAAAAAAAAACCTAGATTTATATTGGTTTAAAGGATAGATGGAAATGAAAATATATTTAAATAACATTTAATGATACATATTATATATACCATTATATCATGATACAAATTATATATAATATTATAATGATGGGTAAATAAAATAAGTTGAACAAAAAAAAGAGTACATGTTGTTGCAATGGTTTTTTTTCCAATATAAATCTAAGTTTTGTTTTTTTGAAATTTATTTGTTATATATATATATATATATATATATCTTTGAGAATTATATTGTGCATTCATTTATTTGGTTTTTATTGATTTTCATTTTATATAGATTTATTAAAGGAACACTACCAGATAATGCCTATTTTTTTTTTTTCCCAATATAAATCTAGGTTATTTTTCTTGAAATTTATTTGCTATATATATATATATATATATATATATATATATATATATATATATATATTTGAGAATTAAATCAGCCCCTTCTAATAGTTAGTTAACAGAAGTTAGTTAAATCACCCTCTCTAATAGTTGAGGGGGGTGTTTTTGACAAAAAAATAAAAAAAAGGATTTAGTGAAAAACACAAATAAAAAAGAGGGGTTTAATGCAGTTCACCCTATTTTTTATATGCATAGTCGGTTTGTGTAGTAGACAATAATTTATTTTTCCTACAAATAAGTGAGCAAGTTTGACACAAAAATATACATATATATATATATATATATATATATATAGATAATAAAAAATATAGTTAAAGTGGCATCTTGACTTTTTCTCATATAAAAAATACCGAGTGTGAGTATAGATGACCAATAACAAGTGTGTGTATTTATCTTTACAAATTACTCCGTAAATTGACAAGTAATTTCTTTAAGTTTTGAAAAAATAAAATTTATTTCAAACTTTTCCTAGAGAACCTTGTCTTTCAGTGTAGAAAAAACAGTGACCAATATATAGGTAATTAAACTCATACAAAATTCATGTTGTATAAGTCTAAATAATATATACTAATCATCTTATTTGCACATTATTTCATTTTGAAATGCATTTGATTTTTTGTAACAACGTTACGTGTACGTATCAAAACAATGAATAGTTTTATTAATCAAATCTCTTTAAATTCCTCGAAAGAGACTGTCACTTGTTAATTATTATGTGAGGACAGTGAGTATATCATATCACCAAATTAAGATCATCACTACATTTCTTTTAGTGTCTGGCTACACCATCAAAGAAATTAATTATTAAGTTCCCTTAGTTGTTGTGTCATCTTCATTTGAGATTCAATTATAGTGATAAAGAATTAAAACATCTCCAGTAGTCTATTAAAAAAAAAATTGTATAAAATATACACTGTCACGTATGATTTGTAATTTTTTTTTCATCTTCAGTAATTGATTAAGATATTCTGCCACATCACCAATATGTAAAGGGGTTGTGTATTTTACATAACACTTTTATATTGTCATATAAGCATATTTTTTCTCTCCTCCCCCTTTTCCGCTCACGGTTCTCTTTCTTCTCTCTCATTCCTTTACGCCTCTTTGTTTCCCACTTTTCTAAAGTACAATAGAGAAAAATATGTAATTGGTGGCAAAGTAAGAATTGCTCGACCATCTTTTATTTATTTATATATATTTTTAAATAAACATAGTTTGATTCATCACTTTCGTTTGATCTTTATCTTCTGTCATCATACTGTAGATTCTAGGATTTTTTTTATATATTTTTTTTTATCATTTTACATTCTATTCTAATGAGATAAATATATATTAGCCAAATATTACATATATATTTTAATCACCTAGTTTGTATATACTTGAATCTTATTTTTATTATTTATTATAAGTTTTTGATGGCAATGGCATGAAAGGTTTGCTATTAGCGGGATGGGAAAGTAAAATATAGAGGGAAATTATTATTATTATTTTCCTAATTGAGAAGGATTGGGACGTGAGTTTAATCGCCAAAAAGTAAATTGAATAAAGTATGTTTGTAAAAGTTACGTAAGGTATTGGGTATGATAGGTGGTTGGTTATTATTGGGGAATATTTTTTTTACACAAAAGGTATAAAACAACCGCTGAAGCTAAAAATAGTTAGTACAAAATTTTTATGTAAATCTACTCTGACATATCAGATTTACACAAAGAATTTTAACATACCGTTAGAGATGCTCTTAAGTGCCTAATGAAGAAATTATTACACAATTTGCGTGTAAGTATAATATTAAATGATATTGTCAGTGCCGAATTTTGATTGAAAGGAAGTATGTAATTTCGGAATAAGAATAATTACATGGCCTTAAGTTCATTATCAATTAACAAGTGAGTAAATGTATGATAAATGTAAATAAATTGTTACATGGTTCGAAATTATACATATCAACAAAAATAAATCTTACATATTTCTAGTACATTTATAGATGTATCACATGGTACCGAAATTATGTAATCTTAAAATATGTAAGCTTTGTAAAAAATTATTCCATGATGATCGGTCAATATTAATGGTCGGACCCAACACAATAAAGAGAGTCTGACCACCCAATTTGTACTGTTTGAAAAAGCAGCATCATATAAAGGACCTAGTTTGTTACACATTTTTAATGCAAAATACTATTTTTTTAATAGTAAATTTTTATTTTAAGAGGAGTTGTAGTGTGAAAATATTATATTTTAACAATTTTGTTCTAATTGTGTATTTCATAAAAAATGCTATATTTTAGCAATTTTGTTCTAATTATACTGACACTTTAATCATAACTTTCTTTATTTTAAGCAATACATTATTCTTGCTTTTTCATGCAACTTTCCAAATGTCTTGCACAAAAATTAAAAAAAAAAAGACAAGTTCTCAACTCATATCAACATGGTATATATGAGAAAAGTTTTGAGAATCTCATATTTTGAGAAGTTGTATAGCACAAAATTGGACTGTATTAGAAAACAAAATCTCCTATATTTTAAGTTTGAGAAGACATATGAGAGAGTGTTGGAATAGCTATTACTGACCTGTTTACCCAAAAATTCATTCATGTGTCAAAAACAACAAGATCAAAATGATTTTATTAATGAGGTTTTAAAAAATATATGATTTTGTTAATGAACTTTTGGGTTAATGAGCAGTCACTTTGAATCTAACTTCCAAACTCTTGGCTTCAAGAATGGTAATTAAGGGAAAATACAAGGAAAGAAAAAACTTCAATGAATTTTAATATAAATGGCAGGTACCAAAAGACTACAACTTTATAATATATTAAACAGTAGAGTTACCTGCACGTTTTCAGGGAGGCTATTTCTGGTGGAGTTATGTGTATATATATTATATATATATGTATTTTTAAATGTTTAAAAATAATTATGTATGAATGAGTCACATTACACAAGAACAAAGAACTTTTCCGCATATTTTTAATTATGTTGAACTCCAGTACGTAGTACGTATTGAAGTTTCAGTTTTGGTGTGCTAAGCTAGCATGTGGCGTTACACAGCCGGGGTTGGTCCAAGAAAAAAGAAAATAAAATAATAGAGTTACGTATCACAGGATGGTGTACTTTAGATTCATTTTCTATATAAACCACACTTTGAAGCTGGCTTAACCACACCTTCACAACTCTCCCTCATATTTACTGGTAAGAAATCAATATCCATGGAGGTCATTGTTCTGTCACTCACGGTGGCTCTTGTTGCCGTCTCTCTTCTTCTCACCATCTTTGCTTTCACTCGCCGAGCCGACGGCGGCGTCAAGCTGCCACCGGGCAGCTACGGATGGCCTATCATGGGTGAAACCATCGAGTTCTTGTTTGGGAAGCCGGAACATTTTGTGGGTGAAAGGATGAGGAAGTACTCTCCTGATATCTTCAAGACCGACATTCTTGGAGAGAAAACGGCTGTCATTTGTGGCCCCAACGGTCACAAATTCCTCTTCTCCAACGAGCAGAAGCTCTTCACCGCCTTCCGTCCACATCCCATGCAAATGCTGTTCCGTTCATACAAAACAAAGGAACAAAAACAAGCCACTGGTCCGTCTCAAATGGCTCGCAACGACGAGGCCAAAGTGATAAGGTCACCTGGCTTCTTGAAGCCCGAGGCTTTGGTTCGGTATTTGGGGAAAATGGACTCCATGACCCAACAACAATTGCAGACTTACTGGGAAGGCAAAGACACAGTGAAGGCGTTTGGCCTTTGCAAGACCATAACATTGACACTTGCTTGTCGATTCTTTTTGGGCATTGACAACCCCGAGAGGATTGCTAGGCTTGTTACCAATTTTGATGATGTTACTTTGGGGATGCACTCAATTACATTCAATTTCCCGGGTACTATATTTTATAGAGCGAATAAAGCTGCCACCGCCATCCGTAGGGAGCTTCTGGCCGTGATCAAGGAGAAGAAGGATGCAATGGCTTCCGGTGCTCCGATGCAGGATATTCTGTCTCATATGGTGGTTGCAAGTGACCCGACTGGCCAGTTCATGCCGGAGGCCGAGATTGCTGATAAGATGATGGGGCTGCTAACTGCTGGATACAGTACTGTTGCTACTACCATGACTTTGTTCATGAAGTATGTTGGAGAGAGACCTGACATTTACAATAAAATCCTAGCAGGTAACAACTTATTTCACAACTTTAATTTCCTATTTTTCAGGTCGTTTGTGAAAATTTTCTACGGACCATACTTATTTGAGTTGCTCCCGAAGAGCTCTTCTAAACACTAACTCCTAAACATATAAATTCTTATAGTCAATTTTGATCATTTTTTTTTTTTTTTTAATAAAATTTGTGCATATAAGTATTTCACTCTTCAAATTGAGAAAATGTCCTTATTTGCTCAATTTGAAAAATGTAGTGGAATTTTTGAACACTAGAGTGTTTTTTATTTTTTATTTTTGTATTTTTTGCACATACAGTATATAACAAGGAGGTTTCTTTGTACCTTACCCTAAATTTTATCTAACTATATGCATATATGTTAAGAAATTAAGACCTAACTCTTAGTATGGTTGTGATAAAGTTTTAAAGATGCACAAATCTAAAAGAAGGGTTTGTTGTTTGAAATTGAATAGAGCAAAGGGAGATTGCAGCTGCGAAGAAGCCCGGGGAGTTATTAGATTGGGAGGATATGAATAAAATGAAGTACTCGTGGAACGTAATATGTGAAGTTATGAGATTCAACCCACCACTTCAAGGAACTTTCAGGGAGGCCTTGGTTGACTTCACCTATGCTGGTTACACTATTCCAAAGGGCTGGAAGGTATATATATATTTATATACTAGTCCACTAATCTATATATATATATAGTCCAATTCTAATGTATATGTGATTTGATTTTGCAGGTGTATTGGACAGTGAGTACGACAAACATGAACCCTCAATACTTTAAAAATCCGGAAGTGTTTGATCCAACAAGATACCAAGAAGGTGAGAGCCATATTCCTTACACGTATGTTCCGTTTGGAGGCGGACCGAGAATGTGCCCCGGAAAAGAGTATGCAAGATTGGCAGTGCTGGCTTTTGTGCACAATGTGGTCACCAAATTTAAGTGGGATTTATTGGTTCCCAACGAGAAGATCATAGGTGATATGATGCCAAGCCCTGAAAAAGGACTTCCAATCCGCCTTCATGCACACTAGATCCATATAGTAATTGGTTTACAAATCTAATTTGGCTTTTTCGCAGACCCTTTGGGCTATATATTCCTTTTTTTTTTTTCTTTTTTTTTTTTTTTTTTTTTTCCCCTTTTTGGAGGGCAAAACCAATGTAACAATATTAATAGTATATGTTTGTATTATACATTCATATTCTTCAAAGAAGGCAACTAGTGAAGCAGCATTGTTTTGAAACAACGATGTGAAGTGACTGCAGGTTAGGTCAAACAAATTATTGAATTATGAATGTTCAACCTCCATGTAAAAGGGCCAAAAGATATCACTGAAATGAATTGAAAGGCTTTACTTTTTATTTTTAATTCTATTTTTTTTTTTTTGTATAAATAATAGTCCACCCATATATTAATTTAGGCCTTAGGGTACACCTTAAAAAATGGAGGTAATGAGAATATTCAATACCATACAAAGGGAAGAGGAGAAGATATTATTGAAACTAACTACATTGGAAGATGTTTTTATCTAAAATCATCCATTTATGTAAATGAATTTAAGAGTACAACGTTGAAATATGACAGGCTGACAGCACAATTAAACCGCTAACTATGAAAGGAGGACAAGACACAATATAACCATGTTCCACGTTGAAATATGACAATACAATTAATTGCATACCGAACTGTGATTGATTAGGCGAGCAACCATTATAGGTCGCGTTTAAACCATGCTTAATTAATTACTTTCCTTTAATGAATAAGACACATGCCATATCCACTATTGTTCTAAACTAGAACATGAATGCTCAACTCTCCTATAATTATAGTTTGCTTTATTAGGGAAAAAATGAAAAACATTCTCTAAGTGTAGAAGATAGAAAAGATGTCACTTAAATTAAAACCAACCTTCATGTAATTAATTGGATTTAGAGTACAATGTTGAAATATGAGAGCACAATTAAATTGCCAAGTATGAAAGCACAAGTATGAAAGGAGGAAAACTATGAAAGATTCCAGTGAAACTAAGCAAAAGAGGTTTTTTTTATATTTTATTTTATTTTATTATTTTATTATTATTATTTTTACTTACCAAGAAATTAAAAAAAAAACTAAACAAATAAGTTTTAGCATTAAGCATGTCCTGGAATATGAAAGCGCACAATTGTTGACTTAGTGGGGCACAATAAGAGAAGACCACAAACAATGGTGGTTGCATGATCCAGAGACGCACCACTTGACACAAAATATTTACCTCATTAGTTGATAGGGTTTGGTCCGTCAAACATTTTCAAACGAAATTTTGAACTCAAATAAAGATAATTATTACTAAGAGTATTAATTTATTCATAATTAAGTATTGAATTTAGTTATAAAATAATATTTTATATTAATATAATATTCTGAGAACAGTTTTATGTTTTGAGAGAATCCAAAATCAAAAAAATATACAAAAACTTATTTGGTTGCACTTTATAAAAAATAAAAATCTGATTTCAAAGATTTGTCATTTATAGCTTTTTTTTTTTTTCCTTCAAAAATTAAAGAAATTTTGTAAATTTAAAGGAGAGCAACATAGAGGACTTCTGAAAAGAATTCGCGGCATTAGTGTTCAAGCCTTACGTTATGGAGTTCACTATTGTCTTTTTTAATTATTTGAAACAATTTTATGCTCAAATCTTAAGTTTAGGAGTTCATTACTGTCTTATGTTTTCCAACACTTCATTTACTTCTCTTGATAAATATATGGACTAAAAAGTAAAAGAAGTCTTGAAATTGTTTCGAAAGCCAATCTCATCTTCCATGTTTTATTACTTCACGGTGGAGAAAGCTAAATGAGTGAAATAAATTCACATATATAGTTGGCTACCAACCTAGTTCAAGTGGCTAGCTAGTGTTTGTTGACCATCTTTGCCGGACTTATAACGCTGTAATTATATATATATATATATAAGTATATTATTAGAGGGAGAAAAACTTAATTATACTGATAATAATGGATGTGCGCATGCCATGTTTGATCTGAGTCCTGGTTTTTTTGACTTGGAATATTAATTTCATGGTTCGAAGACATTGAAAAACAGTGGGCTGCAGGATGGGACAAAAATTTGGCACATAATTCTAGTCATTAGTATGGGAGTACATCTATACATACATGTATAGGAGTTAGGACCACGTTTTAAGTTAATTTTGAAAAGTAAAACGTCATCGTTTTTGTCGTGTATGAGATACATATACATGGCTTTTTTCTTCCTTTATTTATTTATTTATTTATATTTATATTTATTTTATGATTTAACTTCGTGCCTTTCAGAGTTTGACTAAATTAATTTTGAGAAAAGGTACACGTTTTGTTTTTCTTAAAGGGGGTTAAAATCATGAAGCTTCCTTAATGTTTATAAATCCGTAGGCTACTTTGGCGGTTTGACTAAGTTAATTTTGAGAAAAGGTACACGTTTTGTTTTTCTTAAAGAGGGTTAAAATCATGAAACTTCCTTAATGTTTATAAATCCGTAGGCTACTTTGGCGGTTATATAAGGTTTCAGTCAATAAAAAAAATCTGAAAATTTTTTATTTCTTCATATTATATCCTTTTTAAAATTTTTATTTCTTCCCTATTATTACTTTAGTCAATATAAAAGCACAAAAATTTGTATTTCTTTATATTATATCCTCAGTAAAATGTTATTTCTTTCTTATAATTAAATTCTACCCAATAGAAAAGCCCCAATTTTATTTTTATTTTTATTTTTATTTCCTTATATTATATCCTCTTTAAAATTTTTATTTGTATCGATTATTAGACCCTAATCAATAGAGATTTAATAAGGACTAAAAGATTTATATCTTTATCTTACCTGTTTTTTTTTTTTTTTTTTTTTTTTTTTTTTTTTTTTTCTCTGCTCCTCATTCACGTCTCTTTTTTCTCTAGAATTTGTAAAACTTTCCATATTCTTATTTTAACTTTTGTTTTCTTCTTTTTTTTCTCAACTTTTTCTTTTCTTTTCTTTTTTTCTGATATATTTTTCCTCATTTTTCATTAAGTATAAATTGTATAACTCTAGGATCAATTGTGAGAAAAATTAATTGGATTAACTATATAAATATTAGATATTAAAAAGTCACTTTTAAAATTTTCGCCTAAGATTTCAAATTATATTTAGCCGCCCCTAAGTGAAAAGACGGCTCATGTCTAATTTTGTGTAATTTTGTGCTCTTCTATTCTTGGGTGGGATAGGCCAACGGGATTGAACTGGGTTTTGCCAGGGTAGATCTAGGTCACTTGAGATGTCCCCGGACTGAACTGGATTTCGCCAAGAAGGATTGAGGCATCGTCGGACTGAATCAATTTGTTGGGTTTCGCGAATGAAAGCTCACTGGTAAAGCTAGCTTGCTGATAGTGAATAGTTCAATTGGTATCTTGACTTTGTTTCAAATAAAAAATTTGAGAGTTTGATTTATAGTGGACTTCAAAAAAAAAAAAATTATAGTGGACCAATAACAAAACTGTGTAGGTTAGTTACCAATAATAATTTTTCTAATTTTAAGAAAGTGGAAATAATTATTTCAGTTTTCTTCTATCTATACATTGCTTAACCTTTCAAAAAAAAAAAACGTTGTCTCCCAGTGTAGAAAGAAAGTGACCAGTACATAATTAAACTCACATAAAATTCATGTTTATATAGTCTAGTCAATGTATGTATACTAATCATCTTATATAGTCTAGTCAATGTATTTGGCACAATATTCATTTTTCTAACATCTATTTTAACAGTCAATTAATGAATAATTTAATCAATCAGATCCGTTTAAATTCCTTTGAATGGGGGACTCTCACTTGTTAATTATTATTATAGGACATGATGAATGTGATTATATTATTAAATCACCAAATTAAAAGACCATCATAACATTTCCTTTAGTGGCTACATATGATAATCAAAGAAATTAATTAAAATTTTCTTAATTTTTTTTATAATAATCTTCATTGGAGATTTAATTAAAGGTGGTGAGAAGTAGATGGACCTAACACAATAAAAGACACTGTCCGCTACTGAAAAACACATTTAAGTTTGTACTGTTTTGAAAAGCAACATCATAGGATACCGAGATGAAGGTGTCTTACAACCACATCCGGCCATTCTCGTGATTAATGTTGTGGAGATGATAAGAAAAGGACCTCTGGCCACCTCATTCATTTTTGAGGGTCGTTTTTTTTTTTTTTATCTTTTTTGTTTAGTTTTTTTTTTTTTTTTTGGCTAATTGTCACCGTCTACCAATTGTTGTCAGAGAATATTAATGTAGAGTATAGTTTTCTTTGAAAGGAGTGCTAGTTGTAGCTTGCCGCTTTTCTGCTTTTATGAAAATAAAAAATATAAATTTTTAAAACAAAATTATTTTTTGATCTTTTCTTATTTCTTCGTTTTATTCTCATCTTCTCAATTTTATTCATTATATCAATAACATTCTAGATTGTCAAAAAAATAAAATAAAAATATACGAGAATATATAGTTAAAATATAATTTTAAAAAGAAAAGAAAATAATCACTTCTCATAATGTTACTCGTTTTGACAAATTTAAAAAGGAAGAAAATAATATATTTTTGTATATTTTTTTTTGGCAAGATAAGAAAAGGTTAAAAGATAATTTTGTGTTAAAATTTTATATTTTTAATTCTTATAGAGACATGAGACATATTATAAATGAACATAAAATTATAAAAATTGTGATTAATAAAAAGCGGATTGTGAGCCGTTAATATGATACTATCAGATTTCTTTAATTCTCTTTTAACAATTTGCTTTTCTTATAATAAAGGGCGGTTAATATGATACTATCATATTTCAATTTCAAATCTCATCTTTATTAGATTGAGATGTGACCACGTAACAGTGATAAATCAAGTGATTTCCATTCAGTTTTGACAGGTTTGTAAGACTGGTTCAACAAAAAAAATGTCATAAATGTTTACAGCAGTAGACTACAGATTCAGAATATATTAAAAAAGTGCAGGTACCCTGTCCGTTTTGAGTAGGAGATTTCTGGTGGAACAAAGTGTGTGTATTTATATATATATTTATATATATATGTATGCATATGTATATATGTATGTATGAATCAATCACGAATGAGTCATTCATTATAGATCTTTTTCACAATATTAATTAAGTTAATACACAGTTTTTTTTTTTTCCGAAAGTTAAGGTGTATTGATTATGAAACTGTATTATTTATACAGTATTATTGATGTTTCAATTTTGATGGGCTAAATAATAGTCCTAGTCTTACCTATCACTATTGACTTGATTCTCATTTTCTATATAAACCGCACTTTGAAGCCGGCTAACCCACACCTTCACACCTCTC